AGTGAATGATCTGACCATGACAGGGGCTCAATGACTACCTCCCCCGTTTCCAGATCATTCTGCCACTGGCCAGAGACAAAAATTAGATCCAGTGTGTGTCCTCCCGTGTGAGTGGGGGCATGCACTAATTGGGTCAAGTCCAAGGCCGTCATGGAAGCCAAGAACTCCTGAGCTGCCGCCGACGTTTCGCCCACTGATGTTGCTTTGATACAGCATTAGAAGTGAAACATCCCTTTCTTTAAAACCCACTTCTAGGAGCTGGTACGCCATGTCAAAGCAGTGGCCTTCAGCAATCTGTTATTCAGATCTGCATTTGCAGAGACAAGTTGTTGAGCAAAGCAAAGAGTCTTGCCCTGGTGCTTTAGTTGGTACAGGACTACAGGTTTTAGGCGTAGTGTCTCAGTTCTGTATTGTGGCATTACTCCACTGTTTTGAATTAAGGCTAGTGAAAAAAAGGAGCACCACTCCACACTGCCACACTAAGACATTTTCAGGACTGGGACATCTTGAGTAGGGAAACATTAGATATACATATGTAAGATCTATAGAATTTCAAAAACTTCTCTTGATGGTTAACCAATTGAGAGCTAGCTGCCTGTCTTCTTTCCTCTTAATACAGTAGTGAAAAGGAAAAATTGTGTTCTCAAGACAGAATCAATAAAGAGTTTTCTTCCTTAAAGAGATGGGAGTACAATTTATTTCTCCTAATTCTGTTTTCTTAATGAAAATATGAACCATTTCCTATCAGCCCAATATCTCCACTGACTCAATTTTTCACAGTCTAATAGAGAAGCAAATGAAGAATTCAAACACGCACTTTGCAGAGTTGAGCTACTCGTGACACCCGAAGCTTATCATAGAACTCAAATTCAATAGCAGTTTCCGTGAAGAACACAAAAATTCTGTCAGAGTCAGAGACTGCTTCATTCTCCTGTATAAGTTCCATATCAATAAAAGTGGGTTCTGGAACAGACAAAAACAAGCAAGACTGCAAAGAAAATCCAGCAGATTTTAGGATTTTTGTGGTTGTAATCTACAGTTTTAGCTAAAGGAAAAATACTGAGAAGTCATTGCTATTCCATTTTTCTCTTTAAAATAAACAAAATGTCCAGTAAAGTGTGGGCATTTATGGTTTTATGAATTCAAATGTTTTAGTTTAAATCTTTAAAAACATAATAGTCAAATATATCAAAGTTCAACAGCCTAGCACCTAGCTCCTGCATTGGCCAAATATGGCTCTGATTTCCACTTTCCTAGAAATATTCTTTACATTTTTTCTTCCCCAATGTATCAAATAGCAACCCATCTGGCCTGATTGCTTTTTCCTTCCCATCACTCACCTCTTTATGTACCGTTGGGTGTCTTTATTTAAACCAATGCACAATCTATTAGTAAGGTATAATTTTTCAGCAGGTGCTGAAACTTGCATGAGTTAAAATGAGGACATGAATTACCTCATGGTGATATTTTAAATCCTTTCCTTTGCGCATATTTGCTTGAGTCCCTCCCCTTTTCCAATTTTACTTCTTAAAAATTAGGGCACAGCAAAAATTAACACAGATTAACATAAGTCACCGAGCTATACATGAAAGATTAATCTTTTATAAGAAGGATAATGGGTTATTACCCATATTAAATGAGAGCAATTTTGCCCTTTTTAAAATAAAAGCACTGTTTATAGAAACTAATTAAATCTCCTTGCATCTTGTTTCTGTTATTATGTCACAAAAAGAATAAGGAGTCCTGCTGGAAGTAAAACTGGTGACAAATAACCCTGTCAGTGGATTAAAGAACTTTATTTATGGATTCATTATCTGATTTTGAAGCAATTAATTAAATGAAATAAGTTCACAAATTATAAAGCATCAGGGATGGAATCCTTGGGAGAACCTTGATGTTGTGCTAGAAGGTTATAATTAAATTTAATAAACAAGTATGCCATTTTTCCTAAGAGTAAAGGACACACACCGTGCTACTCTTCTGACAGTTTAGCTTAGGGCAGTCAACAAAACAATTTGTAGTTCAGATACTATGAAAGAAAATCAAATAGCTTTGATAAGATTTAAAATGCACTAGGGATAATTGAGGACTTAGAGGAGGTCTGAGGAAGGAATCCAAGGCAAGGCACAGAAGAAATGGCATAGAGTCAGTCCTGGGCTAGGAAGAACTTGAAGGAAAGTCAGGCAGGAATTGAGAATTTAAGTAATATGGAACTGAGTTCAAAAAGGGCTAATCAAAAATGTCCGTGAAGAAATATTATTGTGCTAAAGAACTGGAGAATTCTGTGTTAGGGGAAGATAATGAATATCAAAGATGTAAATAAAGGGTATATCTAAAGGAAGCAGGCCAAACCAGGTACTTTTCCAAAAAGCAAGAATCTAGCAAAGCAAAAAGTGATGGAGACATAAGCCATATTCACCTGTAATGCTATCCCAGAATTTTGTGAACCACTGTTTGTTAAGTCCAGGTGGGGACCTTGCCAAAACTTTATTGGATTTGGCATTGTAAGGAAGAATGCAGGAAGCAATGACAAGCTGTTTCATTAAACACAACAAGAATATTTACAGAAAGAGGTTCAACAAAAAGGAACAAAGTCACCTTTTAGGGGAGATGGGCAGCATAGAAATATAACAAATAAATAAAATAAAATAAAATAAAAACTTGATAAGATCCCCATGTGTGTAAGAAACGCTTTGACTACTGGAAATGAGCAATAAACTTCACCAAGTAAGTCTAAGCAGTATGACATGATTGTATTGAAGCCTTCCAGAGGTTTGGCAATTGACATAGCCAGGACTGAAAGAAAAACACAGAGCATATTGGACAGGAGACGTTTCCAATTATACAAATTCAAAATAATCTATGCTGGAATTGAAACTTACAAAAAAAAATGGAATGGCAATTAATGTTTGTAAGTCTATTACTGCATGTGTAATAGGATTCAACCCAGTCAGTGACATAATAATTCCCATGAAGATTCAAAAGTGACAAATTAGTTTCATAATTACACTGGTATATGCTCCAACAATAGATGCTGAAGAAGTTGATGAATGAAACAAGACGTAATGGATCAAACCCCAAAGAATGATGTTCTATTCATTATTGGCAATTTTGATGTAAAAATTGAAGACGGTCTCTACTGAAAAGTGTTGGAAAATATGGACTAGGAAGCTAATGAGGCAGGATAATGACTGATTGATATCTGCACAGAAAATGACTGCTAGCATTCTGTCAGCAATTCAAATGAGAGTTTTGTATCTGGATGTCTCCGAATGGACAACATTATATTCGAACTGATTATGGGCCATCGAGTTGATATCAGTTCTTAGTGACCATACAGAAAGATCTTCCCCAAGATGTTTTGCCTCCAACCTCATCCTTTAGGTCTTCACACCTATATAATTGATCCTATAATTGATTTCATCCATCTTGCTGCTGCTCGTTCTTTTCACTTTCCTTTCATCTTTTCCTGGGTTATAAATTTCTCAAGAGAGCTATATTTTTGCATAATATGTCTGCAAAATATTGAGTATAATCATTTGTATCTTGAGAACTCTGCATTCATTTGTTTCAATGATTCATTTATTTGTTTTCTTAGCTAATCATGGTATTCTCAGAAATCTCCAGCACCAACGTTCAAAAGTACCAAGACTTTATTAATACTCTATTCTATTTTTTCAAAGTCCAACTTTTGCTTCCAACAAAATATCACAGGGAGAACTGTTGCCTGCATAACTCTCGATAGCTGTAGATGTAGGTAGATCATACATATTTTTTCTAAGACCTTCATTGCTACACTACTAAATGTTTATGGCATGTTTCATGATTATGGTTTATTGTTGAAATTTATTCTAAGGCTGATTGTTGTACCTGTTATTACATAATCTAATTCTAACTGATATTATTCAATCACTGTGCTATGTCTACATATAGTCTTTTCTATATCCTTTCTGATTATGAAAGCAACATCATTCATTCTATGATTTTTGTGCCCTGAGTAGTGAAGTGCATAGTCTGAAAGTGTCCAATTCCACTCAGTTTCAATTCACTGATGCCTGTTATTGATTCATTTTATCTTTCAGTGTGTTGAGCCTTCCCACATTCAGGCATTTACATTCAAAATTCCCACTATAAATTTATTTTTGCAGCTTCAGATTTTATTTTCCCACATGGCAACATCAACAACCAGATGTCCAGAAGGCTTTGGTCTGACTGTATCATTGATACTACAAAGGATCCTTAGCTCTTTCTCAATAGCATGTTGAGTATAATCTTAAAGATTCAAGTTCATCCTCCAGCACTATTTCATTAATCACTTTATATTGCTTATCCAAGTGGTTTTCTTAGTAAAACACATTTACTCTTGTCTTCTCCTGCACAATATGAAATGATGCCTTTGCCATTGTCATTAAAGTGATCATTTGCCTCCAGCATCTTCCTATATCACTTCATGAGTTATGTGACCCACTAGAAGTATACATTCTTTGTATATACACCTGAAATTCTTCACTCATCCCTCCCAGGAATTTCTCTTTCTGCCACAATGAGGTATCATAGTAGTACTTGGGGGAGGGGGGAAATGTTCAGAGTAGATTACTGAATTAAAGCAGGAGTACACAGAATATAGGTCTGAAACAGAACTTTTGTTTTCTATAACACCCCAACTCTGAAAAAATGAATCTGTTTATTAATTGCTTTCCTGATACGGTGGGAGAAGACAGGATTAGCTTACCCTATTCCTAACATTAATCAACTGGGGAAAAAAGAAGACAATAGTGTTTTTGGAAAAGAAGCAAAAGGATCCTGTGAGAGAATCCAGTGAATCTCTTTCCTTTTCCTTCTAGGGTGTTCTGAGTGAGAGTTATAGAGCAATTAGCCAACTTGCGGACCAAGAATGAACGGGGATGGCAGCATGTCCATTATTTTAATATCTTCTAAAACAGCCCTTATTCCAAAGCTCTCTAAGTAAAATCTGCAACAATTCTATTATACAGCTGTTTTTGTCTAAAGAGTAGGTTATAATTTCAAGATATTGTCTTGGGCTACATTTATCCCTGATAAAATTGGAAAAGAAGACTTCTCTTTTCAATAAAAATTTACTTACTTATTAAGCTACTACCATAGCTCCAATATGCTCCTTATAGAGTGTTATTTTCTCATCAAGCAAATTTGTCTAACGCTGACAACTTTAATTGTATGTTAAAATTTGGTTTGTGATAATGTGTGACACAGGCAGCTGAGATCACAGTAAAGACTAACTTCCAAAAGAAGCCCCACTTGCTCCATTAATTTTGTACAAAATGTCTTACCATTAAGCCAAGATGCTTTATATTCTGTCCTTAAAGGATTCCTGAAACTCCGCAATATAATTGGCTCTGTACCCAAGAAGTTATTTGAAGTAGCTGTATAAAGTGCACCATCTGAGATGAAGCAAATAAAAAGATGTATCTTTTTAGCCCCGCCACAATTTGCAAAAGGAGATGGGTATATTGTGTGAGCTATATAGCTCAAGGATAGCTCACAGATAAATATAGAAGCAAAAGCATAGAAGGCGTGTGAGCCATGTCAAATCCTGGCCACTGCTACAAATGGCACCTTTGGAATTTAATAACATGCATGTGGGTTATGGAAAGGTCCATGATCAGCATCAACAATATGATGCTGGACTAGGGTCTCATAGCTCCTTTTCCTTTAAAATAAAAATAGAAATAGAATAAATATGGTTGTTTAACATGTGAGTAGCCTAACATTAGTTTGAGCTACAGCAATTCTCCACAGAATGATGAAGCATGCACAACAATTAAACCTGCTTAATCTAATTTTAATTTAGCAGGTTAAATAAATGTTGCTATAATTCATGGCAAGACATAAAGGAAGTAGAAGAGGAAAACGTAGATAAAGGTTGATATGTGGTATTAAAAAAGAACAGGAGCATCATTAGAAAAATTGCACTTTTGTAAGGCAAGTCAGGATTATGAGTATTCAATTGCTAGGAATTGAATCTGACTCAATGGCACATAACCAACCAATTTTTAATAAACAACATGAACACAAAAAGCCATCCTTGCATTATTGCAAGTCCAATAGCATAGCTTTCTTCATCTTAATATGAAAATACTAGCGCCAACATTAAGGACTGGCAAAGTCAGTCCCTCTTACTCCATACCAGCATCTGTTCCTCCTCACTCTTGAGCTTACTATTTCTCCTTCTTGCTATTGTTATCTGTTCAACTGTGCTTGAAGGTGACTTAGCACTGACAGGAGCAAGAAAAATGGACTGAAGTCAGAGAAAGGAGACAGCTACAATAATGACGACTATGTGGAATTACAATGGAGGTGGGAGGAGAGAGTTGAGGGCATTTTGCTTAAGAGCTCTGTACAGCCTTTAGCCGAGACTGACACTTTGACTGCTGTCAGCAATTTAGCTTCCATTGCAAACATATGGCTGACAGAATGAAGCCGTGGTCAAACATATCAGCAAGTTTCCAAAAATAGAGGAAAACAAGCAGCTAAGTTTAAAAGGCTACATTGATTGCCCAATGACAATAGAAAATGGTTTGAAAAGAGTCTTTGTGTAAATATATCAGCTTCTTCTTTAATTTTTTTTTAACCAAAAAGCTGCTGCTTGCAGAATAGGGTAACATTCCCTCCCACTATGATCTATACTAGTATACAGAAAAGAACAGAGGCGAAACGAGACAAAGTTGAAAAAGAATAAATATGTCATTAGCATCTTTCAAAAAAAAAAATTCCTACATCAGCCAGCTATTGAGGAAGAGCTGATATACAGGTAGATTGCATATGCCATTAGTTTCCTGATAGCTTTTTCAAACCAGTCTTTTATTCAAAGACTGATAAGCAACATCACATCTGAAATATATTCACTCTAATTTGAGTAATCAGTGCTTGACAACCATGACTAAATAAAAAAGATATCAAGAAATTTTTCAGGGCAAGGAGAAAACTTACCGACCATTAAAGAGGCATAACTCACAGCTGGTTCATATGGACATCTTCCTCTGCTTTCTGTAGCTCTTGTATACAACTTTAATTTCATATTGTCAATTACCTATTTTAAATAATTCCCAGAGAGATGTATTAGTGACAATGTTCACACTTCTTGCTAAATCATGGTTTACTTATCCATCAAAAGGTAAAGCCCCTTGATTCCATTCAACTTCCAAGCTGAGCATGAATCTGGATGACTGAAACAGTGCTTTATATGAAAACAAAGACTAAGGAGGTTCTATTGAGAAAAATCTCAAGATTGGAAACCAAAGTCTAGGATGCTGTCCATATTCTGATGCTGTAAAAAGTCCTGGTTATCAAAAGATTCAGTGGAAAAATGTAACAGAGTCCTAAAGATCAACTGACAGTGGTCTATCTGCCATCTCCACTAGCTGTCAAAAATCTGTCTTAATTTTGCCGTTGATTGAGTTGTGAAAAAAACCATTCCTTTGAATGTTCATCCACCCACTTGAGCCAGATTTCTGTTAAATGTCAAGACCTAATATGCTCTAAACTAGGAGAGAAAGTGAGAATCTGATCACAAAAAAGAATGGAAGCCTTACTCATCAGACAGCATAACTTAAAGTCTCCTTGGTAAGACTCAGTAACTAGCTTTGATTATCCTAACATATAATGGATTGAACAGAGACTGGAAACTAGATAATGCTATGATGACTGTATGCCAAATTATGTTACTATAGGATTCCAAAGCATTCCCAAGAGTATGTCACCTTTCATGAGCAATGTACTTCTCATCTCCATGTACTAACATCAGAGGTTACAATAATGCATTGGAGAATCCATAAAGGTGTTCATATGAAAAGCAAAGGTCAGCCACCTCTGAAGGGAAATGTTTATCAGTATGGAACCAGAATAAAATTATGAGAGTATTTTCACTTCTCAAAATTATGTCACTATATACCATCATGAGCCTCTGTAGGGTGGCATGCAGAACCTAATACTGTAATCCTTTCCAATATTTGTTTTCTGTTCATCTGAAGAAAAAATATAGCCAAATATATACAAGTATTTCAAATGTATGATGAAAACATAATTGTAAAGAAGGAATGTCTTATCATCTTTGATGGACTTGTAATAAAACAAAGTAATATTTGGGCCAGATTTATATTTTAATGCAGAAGTTTCTTAAAATGAATATAAAATTGAAACCAGATATTTTCCTTTTAGGACTATTGGACAAAGAACTTGAAAAAACTCTGGAAGTTTTTTCTGCATATGTTGACTAGAACAAGAATTGTTTATGTGCAAAACTGGAAACATGTATTAATCCCCACAATGGAAGAATGGATGGAAAAATTGATGGAGCTAGCAGAGATGGATAAAATAACAGTTTTAATCAAAGAAAAATATACCCAACTTTCTTTCTACTTTGAAAGGCTTCTAGATTTTGTGTTTGAGACAGAAAAAAAAATGAAATTCTGACTGGGATTTGCTGATTAGATACGTTTGTTGTTATAGAAATGACTAGTTTATAGTAAATATGTAAAAGTAAAAAATTAAGGTTTGCCTTACTATTTTTATTTTATTATGCTGAAAAGGGTTGGAAGTTAACATTTTTCTTTCCTTTTTCCCTAACCCACACTTTTTCCCTCTCTTCCCTTCCACATTTCCCTAATATCTTTATTTTCATTGTATTTTATATTATGATAGTTTCAATAAAACTATATTTTTTAAAAAAGAGGAAAAAATATACAGTTGAATACTTAAACAGCTCACAAGCGGTGAAATCTATGTGAGGAAGCTGTAAGGCTCTTCTCTAAATTTTCTTATGGCCCCTACGTCTATTTTGCCTTGTTGTAGAGAGAAGGACAGCAGACAATGGAAATTATCTAGATATGAACACAGTTTCCTGCAATGAACATAATTTCCTGCAACTGTAATATTAATAAACACGTTTGTTCCAGAGAATATTAATTATTAGAAGTGAAAACTCTTACTCAAAAGATGGTTTTAGTAAGCTGAATGAATTGGTATGTGAAAATAAGTCTCCTAGAAATCCAAAGAGGCTAGTATATCTTCTTTCCATACCATTCCAGAATTTATCTCATTCCACAGAAAATCTGTAATCTCACATATTAGTCTAAGCTGGCTCTCCAACCCCATTAATTTTTCTTGAATGGAGTTTTAAAAATTGCAGAACTTTTGTGAAGATGCTATTTTATCACCTACATTAGGAGGAGATGTTATTCATCACTAGGTGGCATTTCCCTGGAACAATAGACTTGGGAGAATAGAGAAAACAGTTGGAAGGATGAGATATAACACCTATTGTACATGCTTTCGAGAGGGTATTCAGATTCTTTGATCTGATGTTATTTTGGCTCTCTGATGCACAACGATTGTAATTGCCTTGTTTGGTCACTACTGTTCCTAATTAAAATGGTGAGGCTGTTGTGTTTTGTGAGGGATCTGGTCCCAGCCCATGAGAGGTATCTCCTTTGACATAGGCAAAGGAGTGTGATCAAAAAGAGCAAGAGGACTGGGAACCTATTCCTAAATTGCAAGCCTTTTTCATAATATTTGCAAAACCTTTTTCTTAATAGTTATTAATATCATCCATACTTCCATTGTGGGGATTAGTGATATTCCCAATTTCTCAAAAATGATAACTAAGGGTTGCTTAGCTAGTTCAAATACTATGATAAATTAGAATTCTTATAAAGAATTTATGACCCTTGTTTAGGGTAACAACAATTTTAAAAGCCAAGTAAAAGAAATAGGATGAATATGGTTGGATCTTGTAATATCTTTTGCAAATAGTACCATTCCCTCCATTTTAACAGGGCGAAGAAAAAATTTGCAATGGATAGTCCTAATGGTAGTCCTCAACTTACAACAGTTCATTTAGTGACCGTTCAACGTTACAATGGCACTGAAAAAAGTATATAATCATTTTTCACATTCATGACCATTGCAGCATCTCCATGGTCACATGATCAAAATTTAGATACTTGGCAACTGATTCATATTTGATGGTTGCAGTGTCTCAGGATCATGTGATCACCTTTTGTGATTTCTGACAAGCAAAATCAATCGAGAAGCAAGATTCACTTAACAGCCATGTTACTAACTTAACAACTATAGTGATTCACTTAACAACTGTGGCAAGAAAGGTCATAAAATGGGGCAAACCTCACTTAACAAATGTTCACTTAGCAACAGAAATTTTGAGCTCAATTGTGGTTGTAAGTCAAGGACTACCTGTACTTGCTTGTACAAACCATTGAGATGTGTATTCTACCTTACTTATTTCTAGCATTCTTATACTATTTTGTAGCCTCCTGTGACTCAGAAAGTGGCTTAGGATAAATACTATGACTAAATGACAATTCCTTGTTCCCATAAGTAAAAGACATATTGCAATAGCCCCCCAAATATGCTATGAACTTACCATGTAACGACAAGCTGGATGAAATGCATTTGTGCCACACACGTATAAATTTGTTGCATTTATCTTATGCATAATAAGTATATAGTTGTTGCATTCTGCCTGAAAAATGCACACAAATGATTAACTTCAAAAACTGCAATTATATTCTCAACCTTATAAAACAATTCTGCTGTGGAAGGTAAGCAAAGACTGGCATTGTAAGATCCCTGGGCAGGAGAACAATACTTGTCTTCTGGAGAGAACACAGGGTACACTTTTCTAACAAATGCACTGATAAATGGTGCAGTTAAGTAATTTTAGGACACTGGATGAACAGGAAAATTATTTATATGATAATGAGTTTTAATTTCTCTCTTCAAAATATATTAAATTACTTCTAATGTATTTGAGACCCTTTTACTGATTCTAGGGAGAGAAAAAATGCATTTTCTCCTTCAAACCATATATTAAGCCCTTGCTATTTTACTATTTATAGATTGATTTGGCTTGATCCCAGTGCCTAACATGGTTCTGGACAAGCTGGCCTTCCCCTGAAAAAGCAGGTCCGTGACTTAAAGGTTCTGCTAGAATTGCAGCTACTGCTGAAGCAGCAGAAGGAGATAATAGCCATAACTATCTTATTCTGGCACTCCCTTCAGGTGAAAGGGGGTCTACGGGAGAAGGGCGGTATATAAATTAAATTATTATTATTATTATTATTATTATCAAGTAGTGAGAGTGATATAGAAATGTTGTAATAAATAAATAACACATAACCATCCTTCTTCCTATACAAGATAATTCACAGTTTTCCCAATGTTTCCTATATTTCTATTCAAAACTGTGTTTTTGGAAGAGTTCACAAAGCAGTTTGCAGTGAAGCACAAATATATGTGTACAGGTAGTCCTCGACTTACAACCACAATTGAGCCCAGAATTTATGTTCTAAGTAAGAAATTTGTTAAGTGAGTTTTGTCCCATTTTATGACTTTCCTTGTCACATTTGTTAAGTGAATCACTGCAGTTGTTAAATTAGTAACCAGATTGTTAAGTGAATCTGATTTCCCCATTGCTTGTTAGAAGGTCGCAAAAAATGGTCACATGACCCAGGGACACTGCAGCTGTCATAAATATGAACCAGCTGTCAAGCATCCGAATGTAAATCATGTGACCATGGGGTTGCTGCAACAGTCATAAGTGTGAAAAATGGTTATGTCACTTTTTTCAGTACCGTTGTAACTTTGAACAGTCACTAAATGAATTGTTGTAAGTCGAGGACTACCTGTACTTAAGAGGATCTAAAAATGTAATGATATTCTATTTAATAATTAATGGCCAGGATAATCAGTCTAGACTCTAGACCATGCATGTTACTACTTGGATTTGGAGATGGATGGAAAGAAAAGGTTCATAATTCAGTGGATTGGTATTAACATCCTCACCTGTTAAAGACAGCAGCTGAGGGAAACAAAATCCTAACTCCTAAGTGAAACAAGGGGATGGGTTTGGAAAGGGTACTTTGAAGAACAGAGCCCCACTCAGTAGCAGAGCAGAGAGTATACATGAATCAAGTTCTCAGTTTCTAGCTGTAGTATTCCCATTCAAAAGATTTTATGAAAGAAAGCTAAAGAAGAGAAAGTTTCTTGCTAGAACAGAGT